AAAAAAAAAAAAGTTGGTATTCTCTTCTCACAGTGTGGATCTCCAGGTTTGAACACAAGTCGTCAGGCTTGGCAACACCCACAATACCATCTCTCTGGCCATCTACTCATCTATCTATCTATCTATCTATCTATCATCTATCTATCCATCCATCTATCTATCTGAGTCAAGGTCTCTCGCTTATTATTTTCAGCCAGACTGGTTAATTGGTGGATCCCCAGGATCTGCCTGTTTCTGTCTTACATACATCTAGGGTTAGAGCGGGTGCCACCACACCTGACCAACTGTGGCTCTTTATGTGGGTGCTGCAGATCTATACTGAGTCCCTCATGCTTGTATAGCAAGCATTTGCCTGCTGAGCTATCTCCCCAACCCTGAAAGCATTTTGAAATGCCATGTGTGCAGTCACGACATCAGTGGATGTGATAAAGCCAGTGATTGATTTACCTTTAGAACTGACTGTAGATTAAAATGCTTACACTCTAGGACAACGGTCACCTACTAGGAGTCAAATGTCTTCCCACAGTCCCTTCTCTAGTTTCTTCTGGTCACCTCTGCCTCTGCCTCTGCCTCCTGCCATTCCCTCCGGCCTTCCCTGTGGACACCAAGCTCTTCCTATGGATTCTCAAGAAGCTTCCATTGGTGCTGTGCAAGCAGCCTTGGTCAGGATAGTGTGCTAAAATCAAGGATGAGCCAGAGGACCAGGGGGGCGAGTGGCAGGAGGAGGTGTGGCCACAGATACGGAGGTGGCAGTGCTGGGGACTTTTCCACCATGGCAGTTTAATTAAGAACAGGAATCAGGTAGACGAGACTTGGGACCTAGATCTAGTATGGGTGTCTGAGAGATGGTACCTCTTGCTCTCGGGCTGTAAAGGACTTCTGGGAGTATGCACAGGCTATGTGCAGCTCCTCCCAGCCACCTCCCACATCCCTTCATCCTGAGACTGCAGGGCTGGGTTTGGAGGCCTGGTGTAAGTGCAACATTGGACCTTGGATGGGTACCATATTTGGTACCCGGGGGGGGGGCAGTAGGGAGCATGCAATGGGGTGGTAGGAACGTTGAGGGATTGCTGTCATACACATTGCCTCCCTACTTTTCCTAGTCTGTTGCTTAAAAGCCTTTTTTTTCCCATTCTTTTGTCTCTTCTAAACCTTTTCCCACTGCCCACTGGATGTCTATCCTCTCCGTCTGACCCAACTCTTCCTCTCTGAATGTGTTGTTTCCTATTGTCAATTGACCATTCTGACCATGCTTCCACATACCTTTTCCAAACCTCTTTCTCCTTGCCCTTCCTTCTCCGTCTACCGGTTCTCTACCCTATCCTCTCTCTAATCCCACAGCAGAGGGGAAGGTGTACAGCTCAGATGAGGAGAAGCTGGAGCCCCCAGCAGGAGACACAGCAGGCAGCGAGCAGGAGGAAGAGGGCTCAGGTGGTGACAGCGAGGACAGCTTCCTGGACAGTTCTGCAGGGGGCCCAGGGGCTCTTCTGGGACCTAAACCGAAGCTAAAGGGTACTGGCGCTGAGGAGGGGACACCAGTGGCCACAGGGGTCACCACGCCCGGGGGGAAAAGCCGACGGCGGCGCACAGCCTTCACCAGCGAGCAGCTTTTGGAGCTGGAGAAGGAGTTCCACTGTAAGAAATACCTGAGTCTGACAGAGCGCTCCCAGATCGCCCACGCCCTCAAGCTGAGTGAGGTGCAGGTGAAGATCTGGTTTCAGAACCGCCGGGCCAAGTGGAAGCGCATCAAGGCCGGCAATGTGAGCAGCCGATCTGGGGAGCCCGTGAGAAACCCCAAGATTGTAGTACCCATACCTGTGCACGTCAACAGGTTTGCTGTGCGCAGCCAGCACCAACAGATGGAGCAGGGAGCCCGGCCATGACCAAGCTCCTGGGGACCGGAAGTCAAAGGACCTGAACCTGTGCCTGCCCAAGACTCACTGGGTGCTGCAGCCTAAGTGGACCCCGCTCTGGGAGAGGCCAGCGTGTTCTCAGGACTGCAGATGAGTATTTGGCCTGAGACTGTTCTAGAGACCTCAGGACTAGGGGTCTCAGGGATGCAGCGTTCATTCTGATCCGGGAGAGCTTCTGGAGCAGAAGTGGACTGCTGAGGTGGGGATCTGAAGTGCCCAGGGCTCAGAGGGTTCTGTGGCTAAGGCCTGAGAGGGCAACTTCTGACAGAGGGGGGAGGTCCTGGTGATACCAGCCTGGGGCCATAGTTCTTTATTTATTTTGTGTAAAGTTTGTATATATGGAACTATTTTGTCTTTGTCTGTCTGTACCCCGAAAGGGGACTGGGAAATTGTTTCCTTGAACCTCACCCACTTTGTCCCGTTCAACTGCTTTGCCGCTCTCTAGCATAAGGATATGCAAGAACATGAAACGGAGCTGTCATGGCCAGTACAGGGGTCACCAGCAGTTCCCTCGTCACTCCTAAGTATCCCTCCACAGTGTACTCCCACATCTTCTTTTCCTGCTGGGCTACTGTGTCCCCACTTCCTGTGAACAGGCAAATCTGTGTGCTCCTGGTGTCTTCTCTTTGGGAGAGGTGACACACTTAACAGAGAGACACCCTTCAGTAGTTTAGCTTGGAGAACATGCAAGCCATCTACTTAGAAGACGCTGTCCTGTCAGTGATTAAGGCAGGACAGGAGGCTCACTCCACCACCCGAGCTAGACAAAGAGGTGCTTCCTTTACAGGGCACAGAGACTCTTCTCTGCCTTCCTCTATTTTATACGCCAGGGCCTGGGGCAGAGGCCCATTGCCTGTCTGTTCTTGCAACTTTAGCTGTGTTGTCTTCTGTTCATTACATTGTGAAGTTGGGCTCCCACCAGCCTCTTCCATTACAAAAAAAAAAAAAAAAAATAGGTTGGAAGAAGCCACTGTCAGATAGGACAAGGGTGAGTCCAGGATGGTTCTGGAAGGGTGGAGGCAGAGATTATGGACAGATAAGGTAAATCTCACAAGCAGAGCTCTAAGTGTCTGCAGAGACCTTAGGAAAAGAAGACTGCTATAGAACCCACTTGCGGCTGCTGTTGTGGTAACTAGCTTTTTGGGGAAGAAACAGGATTGTATGGATTAGGGAGAAAGGGATAAAGATGAAGGAGCTATGGATATAGCAGTTACCAGAAAGGGAGGGGAAGCAAGAAAACCCACTCACATTCCTGACCTGCCTTACAGGCCACCCTTGTCACTGGTGAGCTAAGTGGCAAGCAAACTCGTCAATGTCACATCCATTTAGCTGTTGAATGCTTCAAACGAGAACAAGATGGTCTGTCCTTGGTAGTTCGTTTCTCCCAAGCAACTCTCTAGTGAGGATACAGATCAGGAGGAGGCTGTGTCTCTCTGGTCAGGCTTGGGAATTTAACCTTGAAATACAGTGTATGTTCGGCTCATTCCCAGCCAGGGTTACCTCAGTCAACTCTCTGATCTACACAGGAGAAGCCAAGGTGGAGGCTAAGCTGTTACCTCTTCATCAGAGCTGTCCAGGTTCTGAGAAGAGGGAGGCAAGCCACAAGGCAGAAAAACCGGGGGGAGCGGCCAGTGTCCAGGCTTTTGACTTTCATTCAGCCTCAACAGTGCCAAGCAGAGGGAGCCAGCCCAAGCGACCTGTTTTTAGGGAGTCTGGGGCTAGTCTGTCCTGTACCTACACGGACTGTCCATGAAAAGGAGAATGTGGATAAAAAATAAAATAAAATCTGGTTTCCTCTCAAAGCGTTGATTATTAACTGACATGTAGGTGAGTGTCCAGGCACAGCTCCGGCCTACCACATAGACACCTGTTTAAGGTGTGTCAGAAAACACGGGCCACTCAGCAAGGTGGTTCCGGGAACAGGAAACAGATCCAATACTAACTTAATATTATCATCTTTCATAGACTGAGAGAGGCGTTTCCCTGGGTTTTCTTTCAAGAATAAAGAGGTTCGGCATGAAGAGTGGGCGCCTGGGCTCTTCTCCCAGCTTAGCTCAGCAGGTTAAGCTTAGAAGAATGCTGGATGCTGGAGGCAGAGGCAGCTCTGGGGACCAGTGCCCTGCACCTTCCAGCTACAGTACCAGCCTCCATCACCCCAGGGAGGCCTCCAAGTGCCACTGGCCAGAGCAAGGGGTGGCTACCACATGGGGCATTGCTGACAGCGTGCATGGGAATTTTCAGAAGTGGGCAGGGGCAGGGGAAGACTGCACACAGCAGGAAGCAGAGCCTGTCTCCTGTCAGGCATGCTTGCCCTGTCATGCATCATCCCTGCCGAGGAAGACCAGAGGTGACTGACAGCAGGGCCAGCAAACCCTAAAACAGACTACAGAAGCAGAGCCTGGAGAAGGGGCTCTGAGCAGCCCAGAGGCACTGAGGCACAAAAGGAGAAATGAGGCCACACATACAGCCTGCTTTATTGGCTCATCATACACACACACCACGTATATACACGAACATAAATATTCCAATGTACAAATTTTACATGGGACTCACAGATTGGCCCCTTGTCTTTCATGTGGCACCCCCGTCCTGTGTCATTCCTTCCCCACCCGCTGCAGGGAAGGCTTGTGGGAGCTGTCATGAGGAGGCAGGGTTCTGGAGGAGGGAGAGGTCCTGCTCCCCTCTCCTCACAGGTACCTCCAAAGGGGTCTGTCCTTTAATGGCACCATAGGGCTGAGGGCTGAACAATGCATCCTGCTCCATCCCGCTGCAGCTCAATCCCAAACCTCGTCACCACCCCTGTACCCTCGTCACTCCCTTCTCTGCATACCCCTGCTTCTCCTTCTGTTCCCTGCAGGCCATGGAGTCCTTCTGGTCCCTCTGCCCTCTTCCTGAGCTTCATAGGATACTAGGGCTGCGGTGTAGTTCTGAGGAGGGGTTGGTGCCATTGGCAGGCTCTCTGTTGGGAGTGGGTGCTAACCCACAGCCCTCCCCAGGGCAACCATGCTGGATCAAGATGTCTGCACACTCCTGGCTGCCGGCACGGCGGGCATAGGCCAGTGGGGTCAGGCCTCGGGCATCACGGCTCCTCACGTCCACTCCGTACTGCGGGAGAAAGCACATCCACAGTTGGCATGATATGGGAGGAAAGGCTGCAGCTATCAGGGAAGAGGAGAGGCAGCTTCTGAAGGCCGGGAAGGGGGAGAACAGGGCAGACTCACCCAGATAAGCAGCTGTGTAAACACCACATTGGCCATGGCGCTGGATAGGTGCAGGGCTGTCCTCCCATCACCGTCCCCGTATGTCTCATTCACCTCCTCCTTGGACCCATGGGCCAGCAGCATCACCAGCAGCCGCAGGTCATCCTCCACCACAGCCCGGAGTAACTGCTGTCCCAGTGGCACATCTGAGCTTGGCAGCGGGGCCAGGAAGAGCTTCTGTTCATACTTGGCCCGGATCCAGCGCTCCTTCTCCTCCCTGTAAGTACAGGTCCATCAAGGCATGAGGCAAAGAAGGAAACGGTCCAAACTCGTGTGTGTGTGTGTGTGTGTGTGTGTGTGTGTGTGTATGTGTCAAAAGGCAGGATGGAGGCAGGAAACAGGAAGGGCCCCCGAAATGATGAGAACCAAGGCAGAGAGGAGCCCCAGGGACTCCAGGGCCCTCAAAGGGACAGTGGATCACAGAAACTGGGCGGTATTGAGTAAAAGGAGAGGGACATTGAAGGGACACCTCTGGGACCAGCAGGGACATGAGGGTATAGGGAGCAGGATTCCAAGCAGGTCTGAGTGGCAGCTTATCAAGCCGTCTGAACTCTTTGCATTGGTGGCACTGGAACAAAGCAGGTGACGGCCTTCGAGGGGCCACGGCCACCCTATCTACCACCCATTCTCCCCATCTCAGCACGCGGGCTTGGATGCAGGAGCGGGACAGTGATATGGGTTCCACGCATGCGTCTCCTGCTGGCCCCTGACCTGCGATAACAGCTCAGAAAAGGCCCTGCTGTTGTGAGATGTCTGAGTGACAGGCACCAGCAGAGGAGGGATTCCCCAGGGTCCGACTGCCAAGCACAGCAACAGCCTTTTAACCCTTCTAATGCTGCTACTGCCACAGGTTCTATCCACTCCCACAGTGGGGGGGCTGTCTCCTTCCTGGGCAGCACTGGCTTACCTGCAGGCTTCGGGGCCTGGCTTTGAGTAGCCATCCAGAGCCCCCTCCCAGACACTGTTAGCTAAGGCATTGCCCATTGCAGTCATGACAGCTAGCAGTTCAGGTGGCCAGTCATCAAGGTCCAAGGAGCGGACTCGGGACAGGTGAGCTCCCAGGTGTCGGTGGATCCCTGAACACTCGATACACATCAGGGCACCCAGATTCAGGCTGGCCCAGTCTGGATCTAGGTGAGCAGAGGGAGAAGGATACAGCAGGTGGCACCCAGAGAGGGAGTCATTTTAAAAGGCTACCTCCTCTGATACTGTCCACCTCCCGTTGCCACTTGAACCCTAGACACCCAGCTCCCAGCTCCACTGGCCTTGTACTCACTGGGAGCTTCGCAGTCAATACAGAAGCTGTTTCCACGGACCGTGCGGACAGCCTGCACAGCCAGGGCTGTGTTCTGGTTCCCCAGCCGAGTCTGCCATGAGGCCAGAGAGATAACGGTAGTTGATCAGTCTCAAGCCTCCTCCACTGGCTCTCCCCCTAGCCAGACTCTCCAAGCAGGCCCTACCACCCATGCCAACCTTGTCCTTGGCGCTGCGACATCCTTGTAGGCTGGCGAGGATTTGGGCCTGCACGCTCTGCACCCACAGCTCCCGCTCTTCTGCTGTTGAGGCCTCGAAGTGCCAGGTCTGACCAGTGAGGGACACCACTACAAACTCAAAGGACTCCTCTGCCTCTGTGAAGGGAAGTTACACTGTTAGGGCTCTTTGCCAGGAGCACACCTAGGGGTACACCACTGCCACAGCTCCATCCAGGAGCACACCCAGGAGCACACCACTGTCCTAGCACCATCCAGAAACACACTCAGGGGCAAACCACTGTCACACCTCCATCCAGGAACACACCCAGGGGCACACCACTGCCATAGCTCCATCCAGAAACACACTCAGGGGCACACCACTGTCACAGCTCTATCCAGGAACACGCCCAGGGGCACATCACTGTCACAGCTCCATCCAGGAACACACCCAGGGGCACACCACTGTCACAGCTCCATCCAGGAACACACCCAGGGGCACACCACTGTCATAGCTCCATCCAGGAACACACCCAGGGGCACACCACTACCATACCTCCATCCAGGAGCACACCCGGGGCACACCACTGCCATAGCTCCATACAGACCCTGCTTTGACTACCCTCATCCTCCTCAAAAATGTGCAAGACCAATGAGTCCCTGCCCTCCACTTCTAACCACCTGTGGAGCCAGGAAATGGTGGGTACATGCTTGGCTTCCTCAACTGTACCAGGAATGGACACCATGAGGAGGCATCTTGGAGAAACATGAGCGAAATGTCTGGAGAAGGATGCGGCGGGTGCTAAAAGGCGCATGCTGGGCAAGGAGGCGGGTGCGAGCACCATCCATACGTGTCAGCTGCAGCCTCCTCATTTTGCAGCTCATTAAACCCAATATTCTGGACGGCATCAGCACAGGGCTCCTGGGAGCTGGGCCCCTCCCCCACTGCCCTGGCATAGACAGGCAGGAAGGGCAAGTGGGTGGGGGAGAGACGTTTTCTACAGGAACTGGAGGGTGGGAACCAACAGGAACCCAAGGACATCTGTAGTGACAAGCACAGGGGTCTGCACTGTGACCCCAGGAACTATGCTTGCCCACTGGACCCTGAGAGACACTCAGACACATCTATTCCCAGAGGCCACTGCCCCTGAACAGTGACAATGGGCAGTGTGACTTGTCGTGGGGGCTAGAGTTTATATGTGTTTATATGGCTCTAGAGTGAGCCATGCATTCCGCCAGGGACATCCCTGATCCTAAGTTCTTGCTGGTTTTCCATCCCTGCAGCCTTTCATCTCAGTGATACCACACCCCTGGAAATCTTCTCCTGCTGGGCTCCTCTTCTGAGGACCCTTAAGAAAAATGCCTCTGCCCATGTGTAAACTGGTAGCTCCTCTCTCCGTCTCCCCTTGAGTGAGCGCCTCTACCCCTTGGGTTCCTAGGTCCCTAGGGCACAGTGGGCTCTGAACCACATGACTATGCATCACTGTCAGAGGTTCACCTGACCCACGTCCATCCCCACAGCAGTAAGAACAGAGATGAGAACTTGCAAGATATGTGGGAACCAAGAAACCCCCTGGGGGAGGGGGAGACACTGGAAGAGCAGTATTTTGGTAACAGACACTAAGAGAAAGGCCAGAACACCTTGAGCTGGAACACCTTTGCTCCCAGAAGGTTACAGAGAGCACCGGCCAACCTTACCCTATCACGGACCCCTGCTCAGCAAGTCTTAGAAGAGCTAAGGTAGTGTCTTGCTGCCTGCCTTTCTTCAGGAATGACAGAAAGAAGCTCAACTCAACAGGGACTGAGTAAGAAGAGTCCAGGACCTCAGAGGGCTGTGAGTTGCTTATGTCAGAAATCATTCATACACCGTGTTTCCTCTGTCTACCATGGAAACAACTGTGCTTTTTAGGGTGCTACACCAGGTCCCACTGCCCACCTCTGGGTCCCCCTAACCTTCGGCAGCACTGCTGGGGCCGTCTGGTCGGGGGGTCCCGGTGCTCTTTTTCCGGCGGTGCTTCTTCCGGTTGGAGTGGGGAGATGGGGGAGGCTCCAGCTTGGGGCTGGAACTGAGTGACTCAGCTGGGCCACTGGCTGGTGAGGGGAGAGGTGGACAAGTGTGGGAGGAGGGAGGAGAGCTGGGCACAGAGTATGAGGAAGGCCAGGGGCTGCCCAGGCCTCCCAGCCCCAAAGCTTCCTGCCCTGGAGGAGTGGGAAACTTGGCAGAGCAGGCTAAGGGCAGAGGGAGGCGAGAGCCCCTGCAACCTGAAGGGAGGAAGGCCCGGGGACTCACAGGGAGCTGAAGCCCCAGCAGCTCCGCACCAAATTTATCCTCAATCACACTCCCCGCTCCTCACAATTAATAGCAGAATTAGAAACAATCAGGGAGCTGCCTAATTACTGTCAATTAGAGCACGCTAATCAAGCTCCGCTCCCACACCCCGCCCGGCGCTCACCACTAAATGTCAAACTTCATTAGAGGCAGACACACTCTCTCCCTCCCTGACTAACTCCTTCCAGACTCAACAGAGGGGCTTCACCAATGCCAGACAGGCCAGAGGTCCATGACCTAAGGGAATGGCCCCTGGCCCCAAGGTGCCCTTGGTCTTGGATAGGGACATGTAGTGGGCATGTGTGTGTATGAGAGGACCCTGGGAGAAAATCAGAAGTACCCCTGAGTGTGTGTGTGTGTGGGGGGGTCAGGGGGATCGGCAAACAGGACAAGGGTCTATGGCCAAGGGTGATGGTGTGGAGGGAGATAAGATTTGGGAAGAGCACAGTAAATGGTGCATGAGAGGTAGTTTCTGGCTCTTTGAACAGGACACACCCAATCAAGGGGGGGGGGCAGGACATGAAGAGAACTTCTCAGGCCAACCCTGAAGGGACTAGGGCCCTCTCCACTATGAGAGGTCAGTGATGCTCCACACATGACTCTCACACATGGCTGTACACTGACTGTACTGTGTACAGCCTGTAGCCTATTCTGTTCTCCCTGTCCTCCTGCCGAGAGGCTGATGAGCTGACTGCACAGACGGCTGATGGGGATACAGCAGAGCCACTAGCAACCAGGAAGGAGGAGTTACAAAGGGCAAGCCTGTAATCCTGGCTGAGGGTCCAGACCTAGGCCTGGGGCCAGAGAAGCTGGTAAACTGGATGCTGAAGAAGGGACTGAGCTCAAGGTATCTAGCCCTGCATCCCAGTACCTGGAACAAGCCCTGAAGGATTCTGCTGGGCCCTCCCCATCAGTCTCCCAGGCTCCTGGGCACCTGGGCTCCCTCTCTCTGTTGCTTAAGCAGATGCCAGAAGAGGTGGGAAGCGGCTGAACCGCCACTCACCAGGGTGCTGCATGCTGGTGGGCAGGGCAACTGCCTCACTCCACTGGTCAGTGCTGGAAACCGAACAGGAGCGCTGGTGCAGCCCCTCGGGGCGTGAGCCAGCCCAGGCTGAGCTGTGAGGGCGCTCAGAATGCAGGGATGTGCTGCTGGCCGAGTGGGGGGCACCTGGGGGAGGGGAAGGATCAGGCTGGGAGGAGGGGCAGGTAGGGGCTGCATAGAGATAACAAGCTGAAGAGGTTGCAGGGCAGCCTGAGTTAACTCCAGCACAGGGGTCCGCACTGTGAACAGAAAGGAGAGCCTGGTCTCCTGCAGACTGCATATGGGAAGGAGACTTTTAGCCTTCATACTCTCCTTTCTCCTTGAATATGAGACCCACACTCATCACTGTAACTGTGAGCTGGGAACCTGGGAACGGCAGGGCCTTGGGGTGTCACGGCCGAGTACCACTCCCCTCAATCCTGCCTCACCTAGGTCCCTGCATCTAACATTTCAGTCCACATGTGTCATTTGCTTTGCCTCAGCTTTGCTGCCATTCTGACGAGAAATAAGTGTATCAAATTCAAGTAATTATGTCTAATTAGTATTAGTAATTATCCTGTTGGGCTGGAGAAAATTAATCTTTCATTTCCCATCAGGGAAGAATGGTAGAGCCAAGGGGAATCGAAGGCTTGAGGAGCCCAAGGCTGGGCAGGCTCAGCCTGCCATGGGCTAGCAGGAGGAACACCCAGCTTTCTCTGACCTCACTTAGGGCCCAGCCAGAGGCCTTCTGCATCCAGTCTGGAACACCCATGGGCTTCAGAGCCCGCATCACTTCCAGGGACAAGGAACCTTAACTTGCCTCACATTCTTCAGTGTCCCCACCCCTCAAGACAGGGTGATGAGCCCAGGACAGGCAGGCCAAAGCCACATGATTCTAGGCCTCCTGAGAGAAGCTCCAGTGTGGAGACTGGTGAGGCAGCCAAAGCTGGAGGAGGTCAGCAGAGGCAGACAAGGGGAAATGCTAAACAGAAGGCCTTGCAGCCCAGCAGGCAAGCGTGTGGATCTGGGTTTCTGGATGCATAAGGAAGCACAGGGAGCTGAAGCAGCTGCAAGAGGGGAGGGGAGGCCGCGTGATGCAAACGCCCTGAAGAGTAGCCTTCAGGGCAGAGATGAGTCTGATGCCACCTGTGTTTTCTGTGACACCCACAATGACAGGTTACAGGAAGTGCTGGTGACCTGCACATGGACCCTGTTTTAGCTCCCAGCCTCAGGCCTCAAGCCCTCTCCTAGCTCGTCCAGCCCTCCCTAAACCTGTGAGGCTCCTTGCTTCTCCCTTACTTCCTCCTAGTCCCTATGCTTCCTAGATTCTAGACAGGACTCCCCACCCTGCCCCTTGTCCCAACCAAAGGCATCATAGGCCCAACTTCCTCCCCAAGCCCCCCAACCCAAAACCCTGAGGGAGGGAAAGCGCTTTCCCTTTTCTTTGTTAATTCTCCCCTCATTACGCCTGCAATCCCACAATCAGTGTGCACTGTAATTGTCGAATTTGATGCTAATGATTAATGAATTAAACATGGAGCCATCAATTAGTCCTCCGAGGATAATTCTGCATAAAGCAGCGGATAATGTAATTACAGTAACAAAGATAATGAGATGTTAACATCGCCCGGTGAGCGAGAGACATGTGTGAGTGTGCATGAGGGTCGGTGTCAGCGTGCGGCAGCGGGAACTCATGCTTGGGAAGCATCATCCATGTGTTTCTATGTGTGGGTGCCGTAATTACAGGAGCAAGTTGCTGGGGCTCCCTCCTGCATGCCACCGTGGCAAACTAGGTGAAGGCTAGGTGGGCCCCGGATGGGATGGGACAGCCAGAGGCATCTTGTTTCTCCCATTTTTGGGTGCTATCCCAGTTTTCCTCTCACCACCCATCTTCAAGGAAAGGTCTGCCTTTTTTGGCCACCTTACTCCTTCCTGTGGTACCAGTACAAGAAACCCATGCAGAGGTTTCCACATAGGACTGAGGTTGGCCACATAGGGCTCCCTGCACAGAACTCTGAAGAGCTCCTGTGGCTCAGCACTGAGGACAGCATCTGAGCCATTTTTGCCACGCAGGCCAGGCTCTCACCTCACAAGTGCCTCTCCCTTGGCCTGCTCCTTCCCGTTGCCCACTAGAGCTTTCCCAGGAACACCTCAAGAGCTTCCCATTTTCAGCTCAGGTGGTTTAAAGGAAGCTTCAGTGTCAATCCCAGACCCCTCACGTACAGTAGGATTTTATAGATACATTAATGCATGGCTCCAGAGCTGCTGTTTCCTCATGAAAACAGGAGACTACTGTGCAGTGCTGCTGTGGCCCTGGTACCTGGTTCTGATCAACTATGCTGGCACAGATTAACTGATGCAGCCAGACCCCTCTTGCACCTTCTCCCACACCTCCAGTCTACTCAGAATGACCAACCACATAATGTACTTTGCCTTAAACAAGGAACACTCTTAGAGGGTGGGGACATAGCTCAGTAATGGAGTACTTGCTAGTGTGCACAAGACTCTGGGCTCAAATCCCACCAGTATCTACAATGAACAAGTTTTTATTTTTGGGTCTGTCCTGTCCAGTCCATGGGACTCAGTATCCATGGTGTCACATCCATGTTTACTCAGTGTATGTGACACCTTCTCCACCTCCTTACATGTCCCTAGGCAAGGCGGCAATCTCAGTAAAATCCACACTGCTGTGAGTGGGCCTCTGCGACAAGGCACAGGGTAAGCACTGGTAAGACACCTGTGTCCTGAGCAAAAGCTTCAGGGGCAGTGAGAGCTAACATTGTAGGGCAACTGAGGACACTGAGCCCTCAAGAAGAGCCCAGGAGCCCAGGGCAAAGACACTCACTGAGCCTGAGCGAGGGGAGAGAAAGAGGGCCAGGAGGATGAGCAGCACTAGGACGTGGGGACAGACAGTCTACCTTGAGAACACTCCTTACAAGGTAAGAGTACAGCAGGGGACCTGAAGATGGTTCAGTGATTAGATCAGATTCTGAGCACCCATATCAGGTAATTCATAACTGCCTGTAAACCCAGGCCTAGGGGATCTGATGCTTCTGGCCCCTACAAACACCTACAGTCATACACTCACCAACACACTCATATACACACACACTCACCAACACACTCATACACTCTCACCTATACACTTATACACACAGACACATACACCCCCCCCAACACACACACCAGACATAATAAAGCTGCCCAGAAACAACTGTCAACCTATGGTCCCTGACTATCCATTCTTCATGATGGGCAGATGACAGTCCTGCCCTCTTGAACTGATGGGTTTAGATCCAGTGCTTTCTGTGTAGAGACCGTGTATGTGCCACAGGTGGTTCCCTGATGACACCAGGTGACTACCCCACTCCTGTGGTGAGCTGAGTTATAGGCCTGCCTTAGCTAAAACTGCAGGGAGATCATCCTAGGACCAGTAGCTATCCCCACACCCCTAGCCCCACCTGATAGCCAAGGTGGGTCTAGGCTCACCAAACTCCACTAGGTCTACACCTTGGCCATGACTCCAGGTGGAGAGGATCCTCAGGTGTGCCCTTGTCTGGTGAGCAGGTGTGAAGAAGCCCTGATGCCCAGGCTGAAAAGCAGCCTATCCTGCTAGGCTCATACACAGCCACTGCTCAGACTCCCAAAGCTCCTCACACTCTCCACTACAGCAGCCACCTCACCTGTGGCCCCACCCAGCTGTGTGTTACTCCGCTCCATGGCCACCCCGTTGGCACGGGGACTGGTGCCTGGGGCTGTAGTGGGTGTGGCTCGGGGCAGGCGCTTCCCTGGCACCTTCACCGTCGTCCGAAGGAGGTCAATCTCTTTGCCGTGGATGTTTTGCATGTAATCCTAAAGGTGTACAGACGACAGAAAATGCTTCAGGCCAGGCTCTCCTCACCAACCTGTCTCCTTCCCTCTCTGCTAACTGTGGGGCAGGGGAAGGGTTTTTTTTTGGAGGGGGGTAGGCATTTAAGTCTCAAAAAGCAGGTCTCTGAGGCCAACCAAATCTCCAAGTTTGGATTAGGCCCAAGTCTCTATGGTGCCCAAAGGGGTGGAGTTCAGCTAGGAAGACAAGGTAAGGAGCAAACAAAGGCTCTAGAACCAAACACCTAGGCTCTGTTAGAGGAGATGGCTTAGGTGGTAAAGGGATGCTGTGGGGAGAGTACCCATGTGGCTGAGGAGTCCCAAGCTCTCAGGATGCTCCTATCACAGGCTACTATCCACACCTGGGTACTGAGGAGCAATCAGCCCTTGGGACAGCCCCAGATAACAGTTTGCTGAATAGTTTATGGACCAGTCTTTGGTTCTCTTTGGTGGACTTGGGATTGTATCAACAACACACACCATGGATTTTTCTGTCAGTGGGACCTGTCATCAGTAGACTGTCATTTGCCCATCCCTGGGTTGTATGTTAAGTACAATATATCTACATTCATTTATCAGTATATTTCAAATCCCAACAGCTGAGTGAGAAGTTTCCAGGCTCATCTCAAACTCACGGCAATCCTCCTGTCTCAGTCTCCAGAGTATTCTTTGCCCTATGTTGGAGATGAAGAAACTGAGGCTTAGGAATGTTAATCTGCCCAAGGTCACAGTGGAGCTGGACCATGCCCAGGTTTGCAGACTGCCAAGGCTGTCCTTCACAAGTGACATCCTCAGCCAGAACCCTTGACTTGCCTGAAAGTTATGGCTCCAAGTCTACAGAACCCTCTGTCCTGGCAGCTCCTGGTTAAGGCTGGACCTGACCTGAGCCTGGCTTTGACTACAGCTTCCAGCCTCTTCCCAGATTACGCTGACTTCCATGGATCATCAAGCTCACTGATAGTCCCAACTTCTCCCTCTCCATACTATTTGACAAAAAATCCCTCCTTTGGTGTTCTATAACTTTCTGAGAGAAGAATCTAAGATTGTATTGATCAGACTAAAGTCAGATCTCTCATGAAAGCTCTTGAAAAATCTTGCATAAATTCTTTGCCTATACACAGACCCACGAGGCTTGAGCTTGTGGCCACCTTGGCTTTTAAGATGGACATGACACTTTTCCAGACAGACAACCTTTCAGAAGGCTCAGGCCCATTGGACGCCTGCTCCTTCACAAGCTGTGTTCAGTGAGGAGCTTCGATTACTGCCACCAGTGCTCCCAGCATCGTGACTTAGGATACAGCAGTCCCTGCTCTGTCTATTCATATGACGGGGTCTGGCTCATGCCCACTTGCTCTGAGATTTTGTTCATCTTTTTGGATCCATACAACGGTCTACTGAGAAATCAGATTATTTAGCTCTCCAGTCTGGGAAGAGCCTGATAATTCTGGCCTCAAGGCTGTGCACACACTGAGCTCTAGCTGCAGCTCCCAGCCTCACCAGCACCTGACTGCACCAGACATCACATTCCAGGCCACCAGCACCATAAACAGCATGGGGTGTACAGCTTGGCTGTGCAGCGAAGCCCACAGGCCCCCTTGCTGCCCTCCCAAGGATTGCCTCATCTGACCCTTCTCTGCCACACCAGGCACTATTGCTGGTCCTCATCTTCATGTCCAGAAGTAACTACTGTCTCAAACTTTCTCTCTACCTCTATTCCAGAGTCTCTCTTGGCTTAACATGTTCTTATCTCTGGCTCATGCTCATCTTCATCTTCAGTCCTTAGACCCACATCCTGCACTGGCTGCTCCAGACAAGTGTCAACAGCTGGCTGGGGCAAAGGCCCAGCTGCAGTCCCTCTCCTGAGGGAGGGCTTGGGTTGCTCCAGTTCGCAAGGAGGTCACAGCAGTTATAAGAGTCTTTAGGTGCACTCAGGCTCTGAGATGCCCAAAGCTAATGTGCAGTATGAGAAAATGACCCTAGGCCAAGAACAAGAGCTGCACAGAGGGACTTTGTTCAGGGCCAAGAAGCTAGACAGTGCCTAGCAGAGAAAGAGGCTGTCACTTCTGCATCTGATTATACCATATCCTGTGGGTCCAGCAGCATGACACCCCCAGAAGTTTGGGCTGAGTGTTGGGCCCGGGGGACACAGTGAGAAGCCTAGAGGAGTAGCAGCAGAACAGGGACCTCAGGCAGAGAGCAATAGTGTTTCCCTCCGTCAGCAGAACAGGGGAGCACGGTGGTGGCAGCGGCTGCTCAGGAGAGCGGTCACCACGGCTGCCTTTATTACCCACCATCAAACAGCAATTTCTTCCCCAGCCTCCTCGCTAATTACCCAGCCTGCGTTCTCATCTCGTTTTATTACTGGAATTAACAACGAGTTCAGAGCGTGGAAAGCTATTAAGATGTGTGATTAAGCCACATTCAATTAGTTTCTACAAACAATTTAATTGATGTTGCAGATAGAATTAACAGAAGGTGATTGTGTGAATGGCTCCGCTGGCTGCAAAATGGGGGAAGCTGTGGCAGGCTCTCTTGGGCCAGGGAGAGTCGGGCGAGAGTCGGGCTCCAGTCTTGAAGCTTACGGCTTGCCTACCAACTTTTGCTCCACATGCTGGGCCCAGCCACTTCCATTAGTAGGAGAGGCCTAGACACTGTGGTCCTGCCTCTTAGGTGAGACCTGTGCCCTTCAGGAGAGTCAGATAGCCCCAAGTCTTGAGAGAGCCTCTGTGGGGACTAGAGACCCTTTCTCCCATTTGACCTTGCCTAAAAGGTTGAGACACACACACACTCCTTACTGTTAAGATTAAGATCCGAGCAACTCAGGAACCTTCGATTTTGCATGTTAGACTGCTAGGTGGCTAAAGTTCTTCTGAGGTTAGAGGAAGGTGGCAAACGGGAAACAGAGGTGAGCACCAGCAGCAGGAGAGGTCAGGTAGGCCACAGCTACAGACCAGGAGAAGGGGGAAGGAAGGGTGCAGGAATGAACTGGGCCTGAGAACTGGGCCACAGCTCTCAGCTTCATGCTGTGTCTAACAGGAAGCTTTCAAGAGAGCCAGCAACTCGGATGAGAAGAAAAAGCCAGGCCAAATGCTCTGCCAGTGTGTCCTGACAGCCGATGGGAAGGCCCTGCTTTTCTGGCCGCCTGAGGAGCAGCTGATGATGGACCAGACTCCAGCTATTGGGTACAATGCCCACAGAATCCTCATAGAGCCCAAGGGGACCTAAAGGGCTAGAAACCAAGAGGGTAGGAGATTGGGCTGACTGTTATTGATGAAGAGTTCATCTTGCAAGGGCATCAGGACAGGTCTGGAAGTTCCTGGCACCCAGATCCAGTCACAGATCCCTGAAGGACACACCACAAAAATGAAGAGAGGAACTCCCAGGAAACTCAGATGTCCAGCCAGGCCTCTGATGGCTTCCCTAACTTACTCTCTGTTCTGACTTTTCTTGTCAGTCTCAGAAGCAGGCGTCCTTAGTAAACATTGGCAAATCTGGATAATGATGATGGGTCCACACTTTGGCTCACTTACTAGCTGGGTAATGTTAACATGCCACAGAACCACAAGCCACTACTTTCTAGCTGCAGCTGTAGAGACAACATTCCCACTACTTTCCCTCTTTTCTTTTGGTTCCCAAACCAAAAGCTAGCCTGATACAACTGAGCCCACCCTTCCAGGTTTGCATTCCTCAGCCCTTCACTTTCCAGTAGGAACAGCAAAAGAGATGGACCCTACACTCGGCCATAGTTGCACAAATAGAAAACCACTGTTGAGGATGTAGGCAGGAGGCCGAGACCACCCACACAGTGGGGAGGCAGGAGTCCTACTCAGCTAGTTTTCAAGTTCCTTGGTTCAGATGTAAACATGCAGAGAACATATGCAGCCTGCCTGTTGGACAGAGGGGAGACACGACGCGTGAGAGCCGACAGTGCTATGTGCGTCTGGGAAGACACCTCAGCTCCTTTCTAGGAGACAACCCTGAATCTACAGCACACATTCCTCCAGCCCTCCCTAGGTGCAGGGTTCAGGGTGAGGCCTTGTACCTGCAGAGGGCAGTGTGCCAGTCTAAGACACCTTCTATCTCTGTAGGCAGTGCCACCTGAGCAAGCCTACTGCCTTCTACCATTTTTTGAGGACACGGAAGAAGGCTGAGGGCTGCGTGTGAAGGAGAGTGGGTCAAGTCGAGAAGGGAGCCTGCTGGAGTGGATGGATGTGGGTCCTTCTGTCTCTCAGGCCTCACTACTACCTGGCATTCTGGCACAGGAACTAAAGAGGATTAATTTAACCAGTGTTACCTGAGGTAAGGGGAAAGGCCAGTACCCCAAGGAGTGAGAAAAGGGGAAGACAAATAGGAAGCCCGGGCTGTAATCTGGCCTGAATGGAGACCTCCTGAGACTTGCTCTGCCCAGGCCCATGTCCCTGCCAGGTCTCTTTGGAGGGTTGTCTGGGTAGGCCTCGTAGGACAAGGTAATGGCCAGGAAATGAGACCCCTGGCACCAGTCAGGCAGGGCCTCCCTGACACTGTGTGAAGATTTAAAGATGGGCTAGGGACCCTCTGAGGCTAGCCCAAAGGCTCAAAGGCGGGGGATGGGAAGGGAGGTGGGGCTGGCCCACGTGCTGTGCTCGAGGGGCTTCATAGGAGAACTCATTAGCCCCACAGTAGGGTGGTGACAGAGATGGATTCTGGTGACAGCTGTGTGCTGGAGCCACGCAGTGAGGGAAGGAGATGGAAGGAGGGTAGGGAGAGCTGCCACAGGGGCCACATTACGATCCCTGGAACACCCATGTCGCCATTGCTGGGCCACAAGCCATGTGTTCTTCAGACCAGACCCTTCTACTCCTCCTAGGCCAAACTCAACATCCTAGCTCCCTATCATCGCTGGCCCAGGGGACTAGTGCTTCTCATCGCCATGGCCCGCTCTAGACTCTTATCCAGCAACATCCATGCCCTTGGCTACAGAAGTTCAATAGTTACATGGGAGATAGAGCCTGGCTGGCAAGGGCAGCCCGGCAGCATCAGCTGAGCATAGCTGGTAGGGAGCTTGCTCTGCAGGAAAGCCAAAATCCAGTTCGTGTGCCCTTTCCAAACTACTAAAGCAAGGAACATTTTTAAAGGAAACCCCCTGAGATCACCAGGAGTCTTCTGTCACAGTCCCTTATCCCAACCCTTCTGGACTCACGTGCAGGCTAGGGTGGTAAGTAAGCAACCCGTTGTCACACAGCGTCACATACTTCTTCTTCCACTCCTTGTTCAAGGATTTGCCGCTCCTTTTCAGCAGGATCCCCTAAGAACAGAGGTACAATTACAGATCAAGAGTCAGCAGCTGGGCAGTGTCGGCGCACGCCTTTAATCCCAGCATTTGGGAGGCAGAGGCAGGTGGATTTCTGAGTTCGAGGCCAGCCTGGTCTACAGAGTGAGTTCCAGGACAGCCAGGGCTACACAGAGAAACCCTGTCTCGAAAAACCTTAAAAAAAAAAAAAAAAAAAAGTCAGCTGTGGGTTGCTGTGCCCCAGGGGCAGGGTTCCAACCAGACAGCAGCCCAAAGGTCTCTCGGTTCTGATGCCTGGGACTTGAACCCAGGAACCAGCCCAGCACAGAAAAGTCATGATATGATCAGGTAACTCCTCACCTTGCTTTCTGCTGAAAGCACTGCATCTGAGCAGAGGGGGAAGGGCCTGCACTAGGAAGTGGAGGAGGACACATATTCCCATAGGCTTCCCTCCCACTGGCCATCTAGTAGCAAGCAGTTTGAGCCACTGTCAAGCTAGAAGGCTATATAAGAGAGGAGAGTTGGTAGAGGCTTCTGGTCTTCTCCCACCCGAGGGAGCTCCAGGCAGGAAAATCCCATCCCAACAATGCTCCAAACCTTATCTAGGTACCAAGAAGTCCAAGTCTCCCATTCAGCCACCACACTTCCCATGTAAGCCAATGAGATGTCTCCCACCCCACCCCCACCCCCAGTATCTGATTGGTTTATAAGCTCTCTACCACCAAGCTATATCCCCAGTTTTCTTTTTATAACAGGATCTGCCAAACTATCTAAACTGGCTTCAAACTCACTCTCTAGTCCAGGTGAGCCTAGAACCGACTGTCCTCCTGTATTAACCTCCTGAATAGCTGAGATTATGAGCCTACACATCACAGGCCTAGCATGATATGCTATTCAAATGTAGAGGTCCAACAGGCAAGGACAGGAGCAGGACCTGTGAGCTCAAAGACATCTGTGTGGGCTGTCTGTAATAATTCTCAGCACCCAGCACAACACCTGGGCCAGAACAGATGCTCAGAAGTGTCTGTTGGAAGAACTGGAAAAAGTACCCCCAAGACTGTGCTGTGTAGCTATCAGGAGATGAAGGCAGGGCATAGAACCTGACTGGCAATACCCCCACAGCCTGCCTTCCTTCTGTCTGGGAGAAACCAACTCCTCTATAGTCCTTTAAAGATGTCCTCTGAACCACTCCAAGATCACAGCACAGGAGAGCAGACAGGAACCTGAGCACTACAGATGGATCCCTGGTGGCTGGTCCCTCAAAGCCTCCAACACAGTATAGGCAGGGAGAGGCATGTGGTTATAGTCACAAACTGGGACTGGAGGAATTCTGACAGACATTGCTGAGATGGGAGAAAGGTATATTCTGGGCTGTCCATGGGCTTAATGGGTGATAATGCCCATATGTGGAGGTAAAGCAGGCCCTGCCCTCACCCAGCCAGTAAAATGGCCATGGAGGGGTGCCAATGAGCAGGCCAAGTTATGAGATTCAGTATACACTTCCCTTTGAGTCCTTCTTGACCTAGTGGATGACATGAAAACATGTGATTAAGGGGTGGGAATGGTGACACATGCCTGTAGCCCCAGGACTTGAGAGACTGAGACAGCAGGCAAGTTAAAGGCCGGCCGGCCAGCCAGCCAGCCAGCCTAGATTACATAAAAGCCAAGTAAGGATTTACAAGTGATCTCACCCCTGGCCACTAGGGGGCGAACAGGAGCTGAGGAAGGGAGGCTCAACCAGGAAACAGCTTTAGTTTCCAGCTTCCACTTTTGACATGTCCATATCCTTGACAACTCCCCTCTTTCCTCCTCCTCCCCCGACCCCCAAGAAACCAATGTCATTGCAGTAGATGCAGTAACATTTGTAGCATCCAGGACACCCCCTGCTTCCTGATGGTGAGACCTTGCCTTCAAAAAGAGGTTCTGAAGACAGCCTGGGATTTTTCTTTTACAAAAAAAGTCATCAGTGCCCCAGTCATATGTGAAGGGCCCTGAGAAGAATGCCTGGTGCCCTGTCTGTGGATGTAGTGTTCCTGCCACAGGCAAGCTGTAGAGGCAGAAGAGAGCCAAGCTACTCCCTCTCCCTGGCCCTTCCTTAGCAATGGCACCCAAGGGCAAGTGGCCTCTGAGGACAGACAACCATCAGGAAGAGGCGGGAAGGAAGCCAGGTGGGACAGCTTTCTAGATTTTGGTCATCGTGAGGCTGTCATCTCACTCTGCCTCCAGCTCCAGGACTCTCACACCTAAACCCTCTTGTCACCAATGGTAGGCAATGCCTCTAAGCCCCAAGACCAGCTCCCCTTCATGGCACCAGCTGACTAGATACGTCAAAAGACCACAACAGCTCTCAGCCTGTCTGGACCAGAGCTGCCTGAAGACCACCAGACCTATCCAGGTCCTCCTCCACCCGGTTAGGGGGTCAGAAGTCAGATTGCTGCGGAGGCAGCTCAGGAGCGAAGCCCTTTCTGCCCGACAAAACCCCTCTCTCCTTCGCTTAATGAGGTTCGTTAGCAAGGGGTGTAGGCGGGGTGCCCGGAGCTCGCCAGCAGGCTAGAGGGCGGCAGAGCGACCCTGGCCCCAGCTTTCTGCCCAGCCTTGCTGCCCCCACCCTCCAACCCAGGTTCCAAGGAGAGAAGCTGCGGGGTTCCCGCTCCCTCCCTGGCCGGCCGGCTGCGCGCCGCGGAGCAGGAAGCAATCTGGGGCGGAATGGGAGCGGTGCGGAGGCGACAGCCCCCAGAGGACCCGTTCCCGCAGCCGCCTCCCTCCCAGCTCCGCCAGCCGACTTAATTGCGGAGTCCGGATTGATTGGGAATGCAAATGGCAACTGAAAAGCAATCTCCACTCCCAGCAGGAGCTAGGGGGAGGGGAAGGTACCAAAATGGGGAGCACAGGACAAGGGGGCGGGAAAGGGGAGGAGCCACGAATGTGGCACAGTGATACCTAATGGGCCGGTGAGGTCAGGACAAGAGTGCTGCTCCTCAGCCTTCATGGGCGGAGCCTCCCTAATGGGAAGCCCCACCCCCCAGGTGGACAAATCGAATCTCCAACACAAATGACGGACACAGACCTGACAGCTACCAGAGCCTTAACGTAGGAGGGGCCTTCCTGAGAAGCTCAGGGAATCTAACAGCCAAGCAACTACCACGACTTCCAGGCTGCAAGTGGATAGGACACCCTTTCCCTTTTACTCTTGTGTGTGGGAGACTCAGAGAACAAATAATCCAGCCCCCAGCTATTGCAACCCCCCAGACAGGAAAGCCAGTGGGAGCTGAGACAAGCAAGTGTTCTCATTCACTCATCAAATGTGTTTGGGTGGGCCTTATTACAGTACCAACACGCTGAAGGCACCTGCCACCTCACCCCCACCTCCACTCAGGCTGAATCCACAGTGGACCAGCAACTGAAGGCCCTGGCCTCCTGGTATCACACTGCCACACAGAGGGACAGGAGGGAGAGGACTTTAACTGCTGCCATTCTGTGCTCAGACTCTTCAGGTGACTTCCTTCCCAGAGACTGCCCCAGTTGGAACAGTCCCTGGCAAACATAAATTCAATCAACAGACGGATGAAGGCAAGAAGGTAGGAGAAAGTAGTGGGTGTGCATGTGGCTCCCTGGCCTACACTCTGAGCCCTCATTAGCTTCCCGGGATGCTTTTTTCTAAATACACCTTCACAGAGCATCAGAACTCCCTAGCCTTGACACATGAGGCAGACTCAGGGACTGGCCTGCTCCCAACGGCTCACACTGCCAACAGACCCACCTACCAGTCCCTGGAAGGGTTAAACCTGCTCACAGGCCCTGGTCAAACCCAGTGATATATCCCTCTGCAGGCACCAGATACTGGGAAGACCTGTACCACACCAACACAAGAAGGGTCCATTTGGCACACTTAACTCCTGGCAGATGCCTCTGCCCACACACTAACCCCACACAGAGCTCCTTTGTGACGTACGTATTGACCCGTGACACCTTCATCTGCCTATGCCCTTTCCAGCACAGGCATCCCTGTTAGGAGGCTTGGGTGACCTAGTGCTCTCAGGGAGCAACTCGGAAAAGCGGTACCAGAGATCAGGAGGTAACACCACTACTAAATTTTTCCTTTAGAAGAAGCCACACGCTTTCTTGGTAAGTACATCTTGCCCCGGATCAAAACAGCTTCCATTTGCAGCAGATAGAGTGAACCACAGTGCAGCAGCACAGTGAACCATACCTGGTCAAAACAGAGAGAAGAAACGATTGTGGCAGGAAGGTAGAGAGGTGGCCCAGCAAGCACTGGCTACTCTTCCAGAGGACTTGGCACCCCATGGCAGCTCACAACTGTCTATAGTTTCAGAGGACCCGACACCCTCACACACATACACACAGACAAAACTCCAATGCACATAACAGTAAATAAATAAATCTGTGTCTTTTGGACATAACAGGGATGTGGAGGAGGAGGAGAACCAGTTTTGTTCAGGGAATAACCTGGGTAGGCTATCTAAGACTAAAACATATATACACACATACAAACACATACACACAAGTGTATGTAGGTTTAAGGCTTCAACTGTCTGAAGTTCCAGAGATTATATACATATCCCCTCCGTCATAGAGTGCTGAGTCCTCTGGAAGAGTAGCCAGTGCTCTTAATTGCGGGGCCACCTCTCTACTTTGCCACCACAATCATTTCTTCTCTCTGTTTTGACCAGGTGTGGTTCACTGTGCTGCTGCAAATGGAAGCTGCCTTGATCAGGGGTGAGATGTACTTACCAAGAAGGCATGTGTATATGTAACAGTGACTGGGAGTCAGTAGATGGGGGGCGGGGGGAACAGAGATGCTCACAATGGTGGATCTGCATCAGTAAATCCCAGATGCAATCATCCCTTAGTGCTGCCTTTTACCCTGGCTCTTTTTTTGCTTGGTTTGTATCTTTGAGACAGTTTTACTATGCTATGGAGCCTGACCTGGGATTCCTTAAACAACCAAAGTCGGCTCAAACTATAAATACTACTGCCTCTGCCTCCAAAGTTCTGGGCTTACAGACATGTTCCACCATGTCCAGCCCCTGTGTTACTCCCCCACCCCCACTCCACAAGTCTTTTCCTCAGCTTAGAGTCCCTCTCTCCAGGTCTGGAAGGCAACTGAAGGTAGTAGGTGGCTCTCTGCTGCTCTCCAGTGGTAAGGAAGAGAGAAGGCAGCTGTCTAGGGACCAGGTTGTTGGACCTCAAGCTTCAGACCATGATTATCGGTCCCTTGGTGGCCAAGGGCAAAGTGCTGACCTGCTTGATGGGGATGGCCCTGCCGCTCCCAATGCTGTCCACTTTACACTCGGCAGCTTTCTTCTCCCTGTCCAGGTCAGCACCTTTTCGAGACTGAAAGAGAAAAGAACAGGCATGTTAGAGGTCTGGGGCCTTTTTGGCGAGTACTGCCCGCCTGTAGTTCTCCACCCTCCCGTTTTCCTCCCTCTCCTGGGCAGCCCTAACACTGGGTCCGGCCTGGGCGGCGGGTCGGGAAGGAACCGAGACACGAGTATTCCAATGGGTTTATTCTTACACACGGCACCATACAGAGCAGCACAGGTCACTGAGCCAGGCCCGCCCCTCACAAAGAGCAAGGACATGAAATACGAGGGCGCAATGAGTGCGCAGCCCAGGGTCTGGAGTTTGTTAAGTGAAGGGAGGGGCGAGGAGAGGTGGCCCGGTGGGGCTGAGGGCTGGCCAGGAGCACAGGGCACAACAACCAGGGATAGCAAAGTCCGGAAGTGAGCGGGCAGGTGCTCATTTGCGGCACAGACACCACATGGCACCGAGCGAGTCGGTGTGGCCCGAGGGGCACAGTGGATGGAGAGAGAAAGGAGAGAGGCCAGAAGAGGGCCTGCACCCTGCCAAGCTCCTGGGGCAGAGTCCACCCAAATGCGGATCCTAGGAAATGGGGAGGGGCCAAAAAGAGGGGGCAAGGCAAGCGCGGTGGCGGCGGCTTCCGGAGCAGGAGCAGGAACGGCAGAAGTCCATGCAGGAAGGAGCAGAGGAGGGGAGGGGCAGGAAAGCTCCCCCCAGGAGCAGCTGGGCCAGCGGGCTTGAGTGCCCCCGCCCCTCTGGGCCTCGTCGCTTTGGCCGGCCGGCGTGGGCCGAGCTCCCTTCTTCTCCATTCAGCGAGCCTGGCGCAGCATCCAGCCGGGCCTGGTCCCCCGGCAGCCCCCAGCGCGGGCTCCGGCGTTCCTAGCCTTCCCTGGGGGTAGGGTTAGTTACAAAGGTTCCTGTGGGTCTCTGGAGCGGGGAGCTCGGCGGCCGCTTCTCATCTGAGAGCAGTCCCAGGGCCCGGCCCGCCTCCGGCCCCGCACAGGGGGAATGTCCAGAGGTGCTGTGTATCACCACCTGGTCTTCTAATTTGGAAGGAGTTGGAAAGGCCTTTTTGTTGATGAAAAGTTGGAAACAGTGGCACATATCTGCAAATATCGAAAGAATAAAGATTTTGGCAAGTTATACTTAAGCCCCGCAAAAGTTGGTCAGCACTGGTGAGGGCAGAGACCCAGGCGCCTGGGGAGAGGCGGCAGCGGGATGAAGAGGAGGATGTGAGGAGGAGGAGGCGGAGGAGGAGAGGAGGAGAGGAGGGGAGGAGGAGGAGGATAAGAGGAGAGGAGGGGAGGAGGAGGCCACCAACTGCTGGGCATTTGTGGCCCAGCAGTCCATGTCAGCAGGGAATGTTCACCACTCTGCTGCCCGGGCCCCATCCCTCCTGTATTCCCAGGCTGTCAGGAGCCGAGGGCACAGGGTCGGGACAAAGGACTGCAACTACAATGTGGGAGAAAGCCCAGTAGGGGGAGCAGAAAGAACTGGGCCAACCGGCTAAAGATTACATTGGTGTCCAGCGCTCTACAGACAGCACCTGCCTCCAAACTCCTCCAGGCTAAAGCCCAAGGCTAAAGCCCTCTGCCCCTTTGGCCCCAGGAGGAGGGAGGATGGGATTGCTGTCACTGGGTCTCCAGACTAAATTGCTGGTCATGATGAGTGTGATGAGGCCTACCCCAGCCAGGCTGGTAAGCCAAGGGGCTGCCAACTACCAGAAACCCCAGAAGCCCAGAGTGGCCTCTCTCCATGAAGGACGGGAACTGGAACCAGGGCAAGAGTGGCAACAAATGAATACATGGGAGTCATGAAGGGGACACTGGGGATATCACAACCATGCCCAGCAAGGAGTCACTAGTCACAGAACAGGCAGCACACAACAGGATCCCCCTGGAGCAGGTGTGACTCCTCAAGGAGGGATTAAGGAAGGGTGACCCCAACAGCAATGATGGGGTGAATTCCCAAGATACACCCATAGAGTTGACCATGCCTCGAGGCTGTCTCAGGGACAATGGCGCAAGTGAGGTCACCATGGAAACGATGAAAAGAAAAAATAAGGTTGCCACAGTGAAGATGGAGAAAATGAAGGGCCTGGAGGGCCGGCCGTGCTCTAAGCAGCAAGGGGTGTGGTGGGGCAAGGCAGCACAGTTGAAGCAGGCAGGCAGCAGAGTACACACGGAGGGAGCCCGAAGGTACTGTGGCAAGGAGGCCGAGCAGGGAGGCAGGGATGCCCTGACGTTGAACCAGCCAGTGGGGGAAGATGGGAGGATGTTAAGAATGGAATCAAGGCAGTGGTGAGTGAGACATGAGGTTGATGTTGGGGAATAGGCTGTGGAGGGCACCAATGAGGTCACTGTGACAGAGGCACCCAAGGGCTTGACAGCAGCAGTGACAGCAGCAGGTGTGCACATGAGCAGGTGGCCACCAAGGCTCTGCATTTCTCAATGGATGGAACAGAACAGAAGGAGAAGCTGTGGGCCCAGGAGGACTGGAGTTGTGTAAGCACGGAGCACCCCAGCAGCAGCAGCAGCAAAAAGAGGCCAGTGAGCGCGCACACCAGGAACCAGCAGACAGAGGGATGCAGGGTAGAGGTATGTCAAGCAGGGCAGATGCGAGGATGGAGGATAGAGGCCCAGGGGCACTGGCTCTGTCTGGGCAGGGTTCAGAAAGTCTAGCCTGGCCAGAGGGATACAGGCCCAGGCCCAGAGCCCAGCCTTGGCTCTCAGAAAGAGGTGTGAAGTGATGCAGAGGGACAGGCTGCTCACCCACCTGTTTTCTGCCCACAGCTCCTGGAACAGGCCAGCCAGAGCCCCACAGAAGGGCCACAGCAGGGGCAGGGAGGGGCATGGTGTGCAAAAACTGGAATGGGGAGCGGCAAGCTCAGGGGCCAAATAGCTGAGGGGGTTGGCCCTGAGCAGGGAGGTTCCGTGGACCCCGGGTGGGGGCATGAGGTCGGTAGGGAAGGGCAAGGAGCTCACAAGGAGACAGGACAAACCTGAGCGGGAGGCACGAGGCAGCGTGGTGAAGCCCAGGAAAAGATGGCTAAGCCTTTGTTAAACCAATCACAGCGGTGGGTGGGAAGCATGAATGTTCCCCTCGGCAGTGGGGTAACGGAAAAAGAGCCGGAAGGCGGACTGGGAGGCCTGGCTGGGACTCTAGCTCGGCCAGCTAACCCTCTGTGTCGCCTTGGGCAAACAGCCTTCCGGCCTCCGGTTCATTAGCTGTTGAATCAAAGGGGGTCAGGGAAGTTAGGCCACCGAGTCCAAAGATCCCTTCAAGCTGATACAGAAACTCTAGGGCTTGGGAGGGAGGGAGGCTACAGGGGGTAAGCATGTGCACAGGGGAAGGTCTGAGGGAAGCCCCTCCTGGGCTCAGAGGTATGGCCTGGAAGATGCTGTGGGTCCAATGAGGAACCTCTAGGAGCCCTGTGTGTCTAAGTGTGAGAGACACTACATCCTTTTGACCTGGGGCTGCCTGCCCTCCTGCTCGGGAGCTCGGCGCAGCCCTGCTTGTGCAGTGATGGCAGCTGGGCAGGGAGGAGGATGGGCACGTACCGTGAAGATGTTAGAACGCCGCTTGGACTGCTTGCGGATGGGCGTGGGGGTGGAGGAGGCAGCGATGGTCTCGATGCGCAGCTCCCGCTGGCTGATGCTAGGGGTGGAGGGGACTGAGGATGAGTAGTCGCTGAAGGCGCTGCCGCCGCCGTTCGTGGCCTAAGAATAGAGAGGGCTGCTGAAAGTGACCCTGGGTGCGGGAGGGGGGCACACACACAGCACAAGGGGCAGCAGAAGGGCCATAAAGGTGGTATTATGGGGACTTGGCATGTCCTAGAGGCCAAGAGAATCCAACAGTCACTATGAGGAGCTCTGAGCCTCTGTTTCAGGGCTCGGGAAGGGATTGGATGGGGATGCGTCTGTGCCAGCCTGCGAGCTATGTCAGGAGCACAAGCTAACAATACACAGCAGGGATACAGTCAGAGTGAACAAATGATGATGGCATCATGGTCTGCATGTGGCCTGGGACAAGGAAGCAGGTCACCCTTTCTGAATTCCCAAAATCAGTGACTGGAGGTTGGGGGCTTGGGCTCCATGAGCTGGGGCTGGGCTCAGGGTGCTGGGCAATCTGAGGTTTGCTTTGATAAAGTGCACAGCATAGAAGGCATCAGGAGCAGCCTGAAGCATAGTGCAAAACAGAGCAAAGGTTTCTGGGTACAATATGCTGCAGATGGGGAATGGAAAAGGAGGAGAAAGAGAAAACCAACAAACACTTATAGGCTGGAGACAGAATATACACAAGTGTCTTCCCAAGACCAGAGAGAGAGTGTATGGAAATCAGCCCTCACTAGAGCACCAGGTCCCATCTCCAACACAAACTGGCCAAGGGACTGCAATACACCCTGCCCTCAGCAGCCTCCCAAGAGTGGGCCCAGTGCAAAGGGCCAGGGTATTACCTTGGCCCTGCTGGTGGAGTAGATGTACCACTTAAAGACATAAAGACCTTCTTTTCTGCCCCCTCCTTACCCCCTCCCCCTCTTACTTTCATTAAGGGATGGTGTAAGAGTCCTTGTGCCTTCTCAAAAGTCCTCATGAGGGTCCTGACACTGAAGCCAAACTGTCATTGGGAAGCACTGTGGATGACTGCGCTTGCAGCAAGGGACAGTGAAGTAGAGTGGGAAGGATGTGTAGCTATGGAACCAAACATTGGTCTATATGTCAGGGCCAAAAACTAACCCAGTAACAGGCCCAGATACAGACAAATGTCCAAATGGTATGGTGGGTCCAAATTCAATGCAGGAGCTGGCTCAGAATCTGCACATCCCAAGCAGAGCTGAAGGCCAAACACCCTCATGAGGGTGTGCTGCCTTCTAATACAAAAAGACTGCCACAGGACAAAGGACCAACTTAGGTGCTTAGTGGCCTTGGGGCTGTCAACTACCTCCTCCTCTCTGGGAAGAAGACCCTGCACCTGCAACCAGCTGGAAATGTTTGCCCATTAGAGAAGAAGGGGTCAGGCCTGCTTACCAAGGGCAGTGGTGAGCACACTGAAAAGAGCAGCAACATGGGAGACCATGTGATGGAGTTCACAAGATCACGTGTTTATGACATCTTAACTAGAGTAGTGAAGAGGGAAGACAGTGGAGTGAAGGGGACAGAAACCAAGACAAGGAGCAGTCACCACATAGAAAAGGCCAGACTGAAGCCAACCACACAAGCAACAGAACTGGAGCCACAAGCAGGCTGGGAGTTAAGAGAGATGAGCAAAGGTGAGCATGAGGCCGAGGGGCTGGGACAAAGGCAAACTCCCAGGAGTACAGGGAGGCAACCGCACCTGATTGATGTGCACAGCTGGGATGGAGGCAGCAGACACGGCCGAGTGGCTGGGTGAGTTGGGCAGAGACTTGCAGGGCCCGATGGCCAGCTGCTGCTTCTTCCGCAAGGCTACCACTTTCTGGGCCACTGAAGGGAATAGCAAAGTCAATTCTACTTGCTGGAGAGAGGGGTTCCAAATCCAGGGTGGCAGCTTAGCACTAACTGCTTGCCATGGAGCCACCCTATACCCAGCTCCAGGGTCCTGAGTTACCATCTTGGAAGACTCGTTCCACATTGAGCCCATAGGTTGCACATGTTTCATAGTAGGTACAGCGCTTCAGGTCTGTGGACAGCTTGCGGGCCCTGCTGTCGTCAATGACCCGGGGATTGGCGGCACTGATGGCATCTGTTGGAAGATGGGAGAATCATTCAGCTTGCTGAAAAGCCATAGAGGGTTATGCCCTGGTGGGCCAGCAGAGGCCCAAGTGGGATGCACAGCATGGAGACCTCACGTGCCTGGATCGTAATTAATTCTACTACCTTCTCTTTGAATGAAAACAAACCAATGACTTAATGAGCCTTCGCTCATACCCTGAAAACGAATATGGACACAACTCAGTTTGGGGGCACATGCCTAATAATCCCAGATTTAGGAGGCTAAGACAAGGCCAGCCTGGGTTACAGAGTGAGACCATGTTTCAATAATAATAACAATAATGATGATGATGAAAATTGTGGACACAATAATCATAGAGTTTGGGAATCACCCTGAGAAAAGCAAATTGAAGACCCTGTGTGTAAGGCACATGGTAGTTAAGCGCCCATCACTGCTGGGCAGGAAGTGGGAGCTGGGGTCTCCTGGCCTACTTATGAAGACTTCACTAGTCCACCACCATACCCTGCCATACAGTATGCCCTGCCTCACCCTGTGTGCCCACCAGCACCATGGGCACCTCGCTGGCATTTCGGAAGCTGCAGAGGCGCAGGAAGTAGTTGTACACCGTCTGGAAGCTGATTTCATCCTCCAGGCTGAACACAAACACCACCGCATCCACCCAGGCAGCAAACTGGGGAGAGAGACAGAGTCAGCACTCATTGTCCCCGATGAACTCGGACGCTAGGCGGGCAAGTCAGCAGGCGCATCACCTGGAGTTCAGGGGGGCCTCCTTCATCTCGGATCAGCAGCAGGTAACTCTGGCCATCCACCACAATCTCCTTCTTAAACCGACCCCCTAGGACAGAGTAGAGGTCAAGACCAAATGCAGAGAAGGGAAACATGGGGGTGTGAACAGAAGCCCCGGGTTCCCAAGGGAACATGGGTGTGTGAGTGTCTGAACAGAAGCCCCAGGTGCCCAGGGAAAAAGGGAAGAGAATGGGCCAGGAGAGGAGCCAGGGCCTCACACAGACACAACGGTGGAGGAAGAGGCAACCTATGGCCAGCCTAGCCTGTGATGCTCACCTTCAGGGGACTCTTCTTGGACGTAGGTCCCTGTCAGATATCGGTGAACCAAGGCTGATTTCCCACTAGACAGGTTCCCCACTATGCCCTGCAGAAGAGGAATGGGTGAAGCAGTGGTCAGAAGGCACTAGGAAAAGGTGAGACTGGGGCTCACCTTACAAGGAAGGAAGGGACATGCAAGTTGAAAAGGTAGAAAGGGGCCCAGAAAAAGCCAAGGAGAGGGAGCAAGGCCACAGAGGAAAGGGTGGAAATCAGGAGAACCAATGTCCAGCCAGACACACAACCTAAAGCCAGGGCCCACCCAGCCACAGGGCCTCTGGGCCTCCCATGGACCCCACTCACCACTTTAAGCTCCGGCACAGAGCGGCTAAGGGTCCACTCCTGGCTGTTCACAAATGAGTCTGCGAAGACAGAGCCGTGCCATCAGGGCCACAGGGGTGTACACACACTTGCCCTAACCTTTCCAACTTCCACCTACAGTACTCCTCTCAGTCAAGGCCAGAGGAGATTACTGTCCCCCATAGGACCTTGAGTCTTATCCCTAGCTCCCTAGAGAACAGAGCAAAGATAGTCTTCTGGGCAGGACTGTGAGCTGAGGCTCATCCTGCCTGTACGCATTTGTTGCCCCTCCTCGTCCTCCTCTTTATAGTCCACATGAGCTCACCTGGCTTGGTGCCTGGATGTCTCCCTCTCACCCAGATGAGAGGCTACTCCAGGTCTCAGACCAGACCCAAAATGGGCAGGGCCCTGGCAAGGGGGACCAGTCTCCTTCCTGCGAGTAGGAACAGCTCACCCTTGGCAGGGTGGGGCCACCTACCACATTCCTGAGCCAGGGCAAAGAGGGAGGAGCCTCACCTGGCCCTGTTCTGCAGAGGCAGGTCCAATGGGGCACATCTACCAGGCCCTGCCAAGCCTTCTCCCCAGCGCCTCTACAAGAGGCCAGCCTCCAGGCTCCCTTTCATTAGATCACACTCAGCACCAATGGCCCTCTAAACTCAGACAAGGTCCTTGAGAAGGAAGCCTCTTGCTGCTCAGTGCCCCTGATCTGACAGCCAGCACTCATCTCTTATTCCCCAGCAAGTTCTAGATGGCCTGGCCTGGGCTGGATTTTTTTCTGGGCAGTACTTGCTGTCCTGCCCAGCTCCCACTCACTGGCTCAGCCCACAGATGTTTCACAGCATTATCTCATTCAAGGCCACAATCAGTCCCTGACCTCAGCTGCAGAGGCAACTAGGGAGAGGTCAGCCCCCAGCTAAGAAAATCTCTAGTCTAGTTTAGCGCTCCTTTCCTAAGCACCCATACTGTATAGATAGATGTATAGAGAGAGCCACCGTAGAGAAAGAAGATAGCACTGGAACGCAGGTCCTTCAAGTCTCTTAGGATGCCACGCCAGGATGCAATGGGCAGTGTCATTGCCTGGAATCCTCTGTCACTGCCATCTCCTCTGGACACTTCCAACAACCCTAGGCACACCAACTGGCCGGTAAGGGCACTTTGGCCAGACCTAACTATTCCAGCCTATGCCCACCCACCGGTATCTATCAGGTAGGTTTCCGACACGAAGTGTTTTCTGCCAGACTTCAATCAGAGGCCAGTACGACGGTGCACAGCGTTCCCCCTTACCGCTTGGTGCGCCCAGGAGTCCTGGGGCTGCGGCTGCCCGGCGGCTCCACAGCGGCGCTGCGGGCGCGGGCTCCCTCCTGCGGAAGCGGCTGGTGAGCAGCTTCCAGAGGCTGGCGGCGGCGCGGGGGCGGCCGGGCTCCGGTGGCGCGCACGGGGTATCGGGGCCCAGCAAGTCTCGACGACTGGGGAAGGTACCCAGGGAGCTAGCATCGCCGTCGCTGCGGGTGCGCGCGCGGGGTGGCCGGGCAAGCAGCCCGGACTCGGAGCGCCGGATCTCCTGGCCGCGGCGCAGACGGAAGCTGAAACTCTTCCTAAGTGCGGACAGCCCGCGCCGGGGACTCTCCGCGCCGCGGCTGCCACTACCACGGAACACCTGCCAGCGCTGGCTACTCCACAGCGACGCTCCCCGCAGGAAGCCGGAGCTCCCCGTGCGGCCAAGTCTTACGCCCGGCGCCTCCGTGGCCGCCAGCTCTAGACGGTTCACCTCCAGGAACGTCATGCTGGTGGGCCGCGGCCTGGATGCCCTCTCTCCAGGACCGCGGCTGCGCCGGATAGGCGCGGGGCTGAGCTCAGGGCTGGGCGGCGGTGAGCCGGGCCGTTCTGAGGGCGCAGGGCCCCGACGGCCGTGGCGCGGGCGCAAGAGGCCAAGAAGCAGGCCGCGCGCGCCAGAGGGCGCCGACCCGGGAGTCCCAGAGCACACGCTCCGTGGGCGCGCAGGCTGTTCGCGCGCGGCACACAAGGCGGCCTGCAGGGCGGCGGCGGTCCGGTCGGCCGAGGCGCTGTGCAGGTCCAGCGAGTCGCAGACGCTGAGGGCGCGGCGGCAGACGGCGGGCCGCTCCCCGCTGCAGCTTTCCCCCGGCGACCAGCCCCGCTCCATGCTCAGGGCCCACAGGTGAAGGCCAGGCCCATGGCGAGGGACGCGGGGCTGGGCCCGGGCCGGGGCCGTGGCCGGGGCGCACGGACCTCCGGCCTCTGGGCACCTGGTGCGGTCCGATAGAGTCCCTCGACTCCTACACTTGAGCCTGCAAGCCCAGACCTGGAAGGGCCTGGAGCCAGCCTAACCAGGAGAGGCGGCAAGTCTGGCCTGGAACACCCAGGAACGGCGGTGCAGGGCAGCCGACCTGCTGGGGCAGCCCCTGGGAGCCCTCAGAAAACAGGAAATTCCAGCCAGGGCTCCTCCTAAGACTGGGCAGGTAGGTGAGGAGTTGTCATTAAGAGCAGGCCAAATAAATAACAGTCCTCAAGCACACCCCACAAGAGACACCGTTTTTTGCAGAAAACTGAACCATTTTCTTTCTCAAAAGAGGGAGGACCAAGACCAAGGATTCCAGGGCCAGCTAGATTCCTTAGAAGCCCAAATTCTGAGCCAGGAAACAAGCAAATCTTATGCCTTCTCTGAGCTTCTGACTTCTGTCTGTAAACTGGAGAATTTAGCTTAGTGATCCTATTTCAAAGTTCCACTCTGATGTCTTAAGACTGAGAGATGCTTGATGCTACAGCAGCTGCTGTTGATGACTGAAGAAGCCTTTTTCTTTGGAGATTATAAAACTCAGAAGACAGTGTTTTGCTTGGATTAGGCCAAAGGGCAGCAAAAAAAAGCAGTGCCTGGGAGAAACTCCTGAGCCCCCTGCTACCAACCTAGGTCCTGGTGTAGCAGTGAGAACATTTGTGGTACTCACCTGCCTGAGCTGACACTGCAAACCGAAGCACCCCTAATTTTAGCCAGTATCTTTTTGGCATCAGGAGTGTGGGCTCCACACAATCCCCAGATAACTCAGGTTTAGCCCAGGATGTGGTAAAGCTCAGTCTACGACTAACCCTGCACTGCCCTCATCAGCCCTGGCCCAGACAGCAGCTTCCATCAGCCACAGAAGACAACCACTGGCCCCAGGAACCGACTGGAGAACTAGTTTAGTTTAGTGCTTGAGTGTCCCAGGAGACTGATCATCCTCCCAGGTTACCTCCACCCAGCCCAGTCCAGCTCCATGTCCCTTATAGCTTCAGAATCCCATAGTCTCCCTAGCAGCCTGAAAAAAAGGAGCACATTCCTGAGGGGGCTGGGGCTAGGGGAATGCCTGGGAAGGCAGGGCCTCTCCAATCAAGGTGCTCCTAGAAAAGAGAGCTGGAAACTTTCAAGTCCTGGGCTGGATCTCTCGGGTATTCTGCTTTCTCGTGGGACTAGTTATTAAGAGTGGAGAGAATGGTTGTTTCTTTGTAACAGGTAATAGTCAGTTCCAGAGGAGCCTTTCCCAGGATCTCAGAAAGGCCCAGGGGCAAACAAAGCCCAGCACTCTTGACTCACAATTTCTAATGTAAGTTAGCCAAAATTCTTGAGCTACACCTTAACACTGCCAATTTGGAGCTAGAGAAATGGCTCAGCAGTTAAGAGCGCTAAATGTTTTTTCCTCCAGAGAACCAGGGTTCAATTCCCACTACCCACATGGTAGCTTTACAATGGTTTGACACTCTCACACACACAGACAAGCACAATGTACATAAAAGTAAATTGAAAAAACAAAACAGAACTGCCAGGTCTGTGGGGGGCATTTTCTGTTTTTTTTTTTTTTTTCGGTTTTTCAAGACAGGGTTTCTCTGTGTAGCCCTGTCCTGGAACTCACTCTGTAGACCAGGCTGGCCTCGAACTCAGAAATCCGCCTGCCTCTGCCTCCCAAGTGCTGGGATTAAAGGTGTGCGCCACCACTGCCCGGCGAGGGAGGCATTTTCTTACAATCCCTGGGCAGATGGTCCTGGGTGCTACAAGGAGAGTGGGCTGACAGAGAGGTCCTGATTGTCATAAGAACACGCTCACAAAGCCAACTGAATTACAAGGGCTCACAGAGACTGAAGCAGCAAACACAGGCCCTCTGCATGTTAAGGTTGTGTAGTTTGGTGTTCTTGTGGGACTCCCAACAGTGGGAATTGGGGTGGGTATCTCTGACTCTTTTGCCTCTGTTCTTAAGACCCTTTCCCTCATACTGGGTTGCCTCAATCAGCCTTGATACTAGGGTTTGTGCCTAGTCTTGCTGTAACTTGTTATGCCTTTGTTCAGTTGATATCCCTGGGAGGTCTGCTCTGGTTTTTGAGTGGATCTGGACGAGAGGGGAAATGAAGGGAGGGACTGGAAGGAGCAGAGCATGGGGAAACTGAGGTAGAGATGTATGAGAAAATTAAAAAAAAAAAAAAAAAGGCCAAGCAAGCCACAAGGAACAGACCAGTAAGTAGCATATGCCCTGCTTTAGTTTCTGCCCTGACTTCCTTCAATGATAGATGGTGATGTGGAAGTGTAAGCAAAGTAAGACTTCTCCTTTCCAGGCTGGTTATAGTCATGAGGTTCATTACAGCAACAGAAACCCTGACTAAAACAGTTCCCTGCCTTTATCTATCTGTCCTGTCTACTCTACGTGTAGGAACTATTTATTCTTCCACAAAAGAATAAGACTGCCTATTAGAGCCCAATGCACTCCCAGTGAAAATCCAAGTACAGGACAGTAGCTAAGAAGCCAGTGTTGGAGGACAAGGTGCCCAGTGGGTTGCTTTTGCGGCGGGAGAACAGCTGCACGGGACGGGCGCTGGCTGTGTATGCACCCGCCCTGAATGCTCTTGACAGCCACACTCTGTTCCACACAGCCATCACCTACAAAGAACAATACAGTTGGCCTTGAAAGCTCTGTGCTCAAACTGTTCAAGAGGATCCGAACCCCACAAAACCAGCCTCTCTCAGGGCAGCTGATTCTTAAGTGCCCGGCTGTGTCGTCTGTCTCACAGGGGTTGTGAGTAT